AGCCACATAACTATCAGCCCCCTATCTACCCCTCCATCCCTCCCTATTACATAATAATAAACTTAAACTTTAATTTTATTTTTTTTATAATATCTGATATTATTTACTGTACTTTATATAGAAAAAAAAATTTTTTATTTAAAAAAAAAATAAATTCTAACAAATGCATTTTTATTACTCAATTTTTCATATTTTATTTTTTTCAAATTTTTTTTATATATATATATATTTTTTTGCTTTTTTATATTTCAATCATTCACACACTCACTCACTCACTCACTAACAACAACAACAACAAAAATCCTATTTTATTTACCAATTTTGTTGCCTCTCATATATATATATATATATATATATATATATTATCAGAATATTCTGTAAATATATATATATATATATACATTGATATATAAAGTATTTTTTTTAAATACAAATTTCAAAAYATATACCATTATCATTATGTGTATATATATTTTTTATTAATATACATTTTTTGATATTTTTTAGTTATTTATTGATATAAAATTTATAAAAATTTTAATAGACTAAATATCAATATTGTATAACTAATATTATATTTTAAATATATATATATATATATATATATATATATATATATATATATATATATATATATATATATATTATAGATGTATGTTTTTTGAGATAAAATTTTAGTTCAATATAAAAAACTATTTTTTTTAAATTTAATCTTTTTTATATTATATATATATATATAAAACTTATGATAATTTTTTTCCAAATAAAATATTTATTTTAAAAAACCAAATTTTTAGAAAAATATTTTAAAATATTACTATATATATACAGTATATTAAATAATTATTTACATATAAAACCAACAAATTATTAAACTATTATATTTATTTGTATCAAAAAAAAGTATTATTTGTTTTATTATATTTTTATTTTCTCTACTGTACTGTAATATAAAACATTTTACACACACAAACAAAAAAGTTGTCAAACAAAACAATAAATAAATAAATTAACAGTAGTTTTATTTCAAACTTTTTTTATTGTCGTTATATTTTTATAAAAATATTTTGTTTTGTTTTGTTTGTATTTAGTTTTTATTGTTTGTCTATTTCCCAGAAAAAAAGATTACATTTTCCTATAAATTTTATAATGGATTCTCTCTCTCTCTCTCTCTCTCTCTCTCTCTCTTAACTATCTTTTTATATCAACATAAATATAAAAATGCAAAACAAAACAAAAAAGTTTTGTTTGTATTTAGTTTTTTGTTGTTGTTTTATATATTAGAAACTGTTATTTATCTTTGATTTTTTTGTTTGTTATCTTTTCGTAATTTAGTATTTAATTTTGTTGTTATTATTTATCTAAATCTTGACATAGAATTCAAATAAAACAATTGCTTGTATGTGTATGTGTATGTGTATGTGTATGTGTATGTGTATGTGTATGTGTATGTGTATGTGTATGTGTATGTGTATGTGTATGTGTATGTGTATGTGTATGTGTATGTGTATGTGTATGTGTATGTGTATGTGTATGTGTATGTGTATGTGTATGTGTATGTGTATGTGTATGTGTATGTGTATGTGTATGTGTATGTGTATGTGTATGTGTATGTGTATGTGTATGTGTATGTGTATGTGTATGTGTATGTGTATGTGTTAATAGTAATCTGGTAAGTGCTACTAGACTTTATAATAAACAAACAAAAAAATTAATATAAACATTATTAAATTTATCTTGAATTTTATTTATAAAATTTTTGTTAAAGTTTTTATATATATATAAACTTATATACTATAGAATCATTAATAAATTTTTTTTTTGATTTAATACAACATTAGTAACACATAAATCACAATGAAAAATGTTTATTTGAATAAATAAACTTGATGATATTTATTCAAATATATATGATAATAAAACAAACAAAAAAAATATAATAACATTAAAAAATAATCGATATTTGTTTTACTAAAAAGCATTTAACTTTTATTTATATATTATTTTTGATAACTTTTAAAATGTATATAAATTCAAATATTATGTATATTATTATAAATAAAAATTTATTAATAATAATTTTTTTGATATAATTTTTGATAATGTATTTAAGTTTATGATTTTAATGCCCTCTTTTTGTTTAGAAATAAATCATTGAAATCATATTTTYTTAAAAAGTTTTTATTTAGGAAATAATTATAGAAAATAATTATTAATAAATTTGATAATAATTTTTTGAATTACAAACATTTTTTTAAAAACAATATTTAAATTAATCATTTTTAACAATATTTAAATTAATCTTTTTTTAACAAAATATATATCTGTATTATTAACAAATAATTATATATATTTTTATACTGTATTTATACAATATATAGTATAGTTATTAAATCATTATTTAATAATAAAAAAATAAAAGTGAAAGTTGATAATGAAAAAATATTAATTAATTTGTTGCTAGGTGCTGTTAGGTTACAAAAATAAAAATAAAATAAAATCATGTAGGTGAAGTTCAAGTAAATATACAGTATATATATATATTATATAATATTTTATACATTAATCATATAAATTAATTTGTTTAACATTATCTTATTTTCAAAAATTATTATTACTATACATACAGTAAACAACTTACTTAAAAAAAACACTTAAAAAATTTTTATTATTATTATTCAAGTTTATCAAATAATTAAAACAGTAAAAATAACTATTATCATTATTATTATTAATATAATTTTAATATATTGTCTTGATAAATTTTATCCAAAAAAAATTATTATTTTTAAAAATAAAATTTCCATAAATTACTATAACCTCTATTATACAAAATAGTAGTATAATTACTGGTATAATATAATAATAATAATAATAATAAATAACTATTGTTTTATCATATTATTTGTCTCCAAAATATATATATATATATATTGTTATCTAAAAACTAATTTAGATGATGATGATGATGATGAAAATATATTGTGCTAAAAATAATTGTTTAAATAAATCTATTAATTAATTAATTTTTATTAATTGATTTTTTTCATATTAAAAAATGAAAGTTAATTATAAAAATATTACTTACGCTGATAAAATTGATAATAATTTACATAATTTATTTATAAATATTGAAAATCATGATAAACTACAACAACAACAACAACAATCACAACAAGATATTTGCAATTATAATAACAATAGTGAGTATTATATATATATAACTAACTATAAATAAATATTTTTTGATACATATTAATATTAATAATAATAATGTTTAAAAATATAAAAAATTAATAATAATAATAAAAAATAAAATAAATATAAAAAATTAATAATAATAATAATAATAAATAAAATAAATATAAAAAAATAATAAATTATTAATTATGATTAAAAAAATTTTATAATAATAATTATAATATTAATAAGTTAAACAATTTTTGCAAATATTTTTATTTTTTTGCTTAATAAACATTTAATAATTAAAAATTATTATATAGTTGACAAATCAATAACACCCCCCAAAAATATCATCAAGGTACAATATAAAAGTGCAACTACTACTGGTGCTACTACTAGTGCTACTAATGACCAAATAGTTGATGACAAAACTATCAAGCACAATAAACAAAAATTATCATCATCATGTGATAATCAAAATATTCAGCAAAAAATTAGGGGACGGGTACGTAAAAAACGCCGTGGGCGGGGCCGGCCGGGCAAAGAGGGCAAATCTAAACTATTGGACAGACAGCTAAATGAATTGCTTGTCCATAGAGACCAATTGCTAAGCAAACTATCCTATTTGGACAATGCTATCAACGATTCAATGAAACGGTTTGGTCGGGATTTGGGTGTAGAACCTAACCGACAAATTATTGGCCAAATGTGTCGATGTCTAGTCGATGACCAAACAAATCAGTTTATTCAACAATTTATTAATAATAATAATAATAACAACAATAATAAGTTGTAATATTTTAAATATAGTATATCTATATATATATATATAATCTATATATATACAGTATAAATATATATTAATTACTTAATTAATAATTATTAATAATTTAAATATTGATAACTACTGAATATTAAGATAATAGTAACCAGTAATCAAAGTTTATAATTTATATATATATATATATATATTACAGTATTGTTAATAACTAGCATTTAATAGCATTTACCGGTACTTTAAATTATTATTATTATTATTATTATTATCATTATAATTATATCATATCTATAATGCTTATCAAAAATATAATAATTAAGGTAAACGGATATTTAATATATTTATTTTTCTAATATATAATATATATTATATATATATATATATATATAATAAAACAATTACGTCAGTTATACTGAGATAATGTGTATTATATTTTTGGTTATTATTATTATAATATAAGAAAACTAATACAATATAAGATTATGTGTAATATTATATTAATATTATATATAATTAATAAAATACTTGTATATAATAATAATTATTATTATAATATGATATATCAAATTACAATGACTTACGTAAATAATATTTTAAATTGTTATTGAAATATTAAAATAAGTTAATTAAAAATAATACTACAATTATTATTTATGCTTTTTTTAGAAAATTTTTCTAATATTTTAGTTAAAAATGATTAACAAAATATATTTAATTTGACTAAAAAATTAAAATAATTTTATAATTTTTCCAGTAATATATTTACAGTAAAAATAATCTATAAATAATTTATTTGATATATATATATATTTGGTAGCATTTAATATATGCAAATTTCAATTTTATTATTATTACTATTATTGTTAAATATGTAATAAGTAAATAAATTTTATATATATATAAATATTTGTCTATATTTTTTTTATTTAACTTAATTTGTTTTTCTTGTTAATCTTATCTTGGTTATTTTTAATAATAATAATACATTTAATCAATTAATCAATCAATAACATTATCGATCAAAAATAATAAAATTATATTAATTATTAATTAATATATCATAWATATAATCAATCGCTTGGATGTATCAATTGCTGGACAATCTGTCTATAACTGTAGGGCTGAAACAAATAACCCGAACCGTCATAGAATTTACTCTGAAATTCGACCCTATTTTCAGTCAACAACAAAAAAATTATTATTTAGAAAAAAATAATTAATTTCAAAAATACCAATGAAGTCGGAGTGCGTGCAAAAATGCCGACAAACCCTCCATCAGCAACAATATGGCCACCGTTAGGACAGCCCAAGCGGCAAATACGACCCACATTATTATGCCGGTCACAATATAACCGGCCACTGATCCAGGTTCGAGAATTTCTATTTATAACCCCCGTCCCCCCGATTACAATATATATAAAAAATTATATTTTTTCAAAAATAATAAAACTAATAGACAACTATAGACTAACTAACTAACCCATAAAACCGTTAATAAACAGCATATTCCATAGGACCTCACTGAGCTCGGCGTGGGCTAAACTGAGAGCCCATAGACGCAAATAGCTGGCCGTATGGGATATGGAGCCCAAACAGTATTCAATAGTATGGATGGCCTGATGTATGAATGCATCGCCAAAATCAAACACATCATCATCGCTACCGTGACCTCCATGGCCACCGCCATCACCATCGGCACCGTTACTCCCCGAACTACCGGCCGGTTCCATAGTAACCTTGATTTCGTTGGACTCAATGCCCCCGTGATTGGTAGTTGTGGTCATTTCGATACTGGTACGGGATCTGCTCAGATTGGGCACAGATACTACCTTTTTACTGATGGCGGGAGGGRGGGTATCATAAAAAATAGACAGGTGTTACCACCAAAAAAAATTAAATATATATTTAACTAAAAAAATATCAATAATAATAATAATTGCAAAATTATTTTTGCTTGATCATATATCTATAACTAGTTTAATATGTCTATCTATCTAAAAAAAATTCACAAATATATTGAATATATATATTATTTTCTATATACAGTATATATACTCTAGTAGTTATAAAATTGATAATTAAAATACAATTATAATACAAAATAAATAATTATTATTTAAAAAAAATAAATAAATAATAATTGCATAAAAATTGCTTGATCATATATCTATTAACAACTAGTTTAATATGTCTATCTAAAAATTAAAATAAATTCACACATATATTGAATATATATATATTATTTTCTATATATATATATACTCTAGTAGTTATAAAATTGATAATTAAAATACAATTATAATACAAATAAATAATTATTATTTAAAAAAAATAAATAAATAATAATTGCATAAAAATAGCTTGATCATATATCTATTAACAACTAGTTTAATATGTCTATTTAAAAATTATTTACAAAAATCACAAATATATATTATYTWTATATATATATATATATATATATATATAAACTCTAGTAGTTATAAAATTGCTAATCAAAAAATAATTAAAATACAAATAAATTATTATTTAAAAAATAAATAAATAATTATTTTAATCAATACATACAATCGACGATTGTGCTTGCTCCTTAAATAAATCGGCTTAATAAATAGCATCCAGGGTACACACAATAGGGCAACCACTATCAGTATAGTTTGTACCAAATTTTGGCCATTATACATGGGTACTTTCAAATAACATGGATCAGTATCCTCGGGTTGTTTAAACATAAACATATTGATCAACGTTATCAATACATTGGGTGCACAGTTAGAATTAGAGGAATTGGATGTAAACCATTTAAAAAATATCATAAAATTCATGTAACCAAATATACACATCAGGAACAGTACTTGGGGTATGAACTCGCATACTATGTTTACATATCGCCTAAAGTGTCTGATTATACATATAGGTATGTATATTAAGATATGAAAAACAAACAAAATATATATTTATATA